AGTTAATATAAAAATGAATTATAGGCCAATTTATAGATAACAGTCCTGCCAGATTTTAAATGAATTTTTGAGATGTGTATTTGCGTATGGAGCTTCTTGTAAAGTGAACAAGAAGTGAGAATGGAAATACAGGTACGCTAGCTTTCAGGCACAAAGAAACACGTGTTTGGCATGCTGGCTAGGGCTTATGTCAGTTGGCTCATGTTTGTGTCATTACTGTTGCGCTCCCTATACAAGTCTATGGGAATACATAAAAAAGCAGCTTGAAGCAGGTCAGAAGTTGTGATGAGCTTAAATTTGGGCTGAATGCAGTCCGAATCCGAGCTTTTCGGAAGCTGGAAGGGACATGGGGCCACCCACCTAATTAGCCAAAGTACTCCCCGCCCAGCAGTTGCACATAAACAAAGGGGCGGGATGCTTGTGCTGACATCATTAACCTTATAAGGTCACTGTAATGTACCAAATTAAGCCACGTGGCCAAGGTCAATGACATCACAGCATCCCCTCTGTTCACTGGGTGGCAGAAGACGAAGCTCAGGTTCAGATGGGTTTTAATGCAAGCTGATCTCTAGTCAGAAGGAGGTCAGCTGCACCTGTCAATCAATGCTGAAGCATCTATGATGGTGTCAAAAGCAAACTCATCAACACAGGTGAAAGCCCATCGACACAAGACCTTAGGGAATGAAAATACAGATCCCCACATTTAAATATATGCATTTCAATTCACTTAGTAGATAATGCCTACTCTGCTGAGCCACTATTTTTTATCCTAGCATTGATCTTACACAGGTAGCTTTCGTGTTAGCTAAACCCCTGTAGTTTTTGGTGTCCTTATTCTCTGAATAGTCTGTAAAAGTTCAGGCCAAGTATTTCCATGTTTCAAGCAGCACCCCTCTGTATATAGCAGAAGCTGAAATCCCACTTAAGAGGGTGAAATAATGTGAAGTCTGCTTGCAATAGCTTTTAAACTAATTCTACTCTCAAGCATTGAGGGGCACATGAAATCGGAGACTTTCAGGTTATACTGCCAGGGACAGGAGGACTGGACTCCAGCATAAAAAACAAATTGGGCCAGTCCAGGATAACTCCTCCTACTCCCAGCATGCCTCGGTTTTTCCAATTGTCTTAGGAGGATGGACATCTTTTCTCTGCTCTGCTAAGAAAAGTCTATTTTGTTGCTGGATACTTTTTTCTTTAGTCAAGATTGCTGCTACATCACTGCTGAACTGGTCTCTATATGCAATTATCCAAATTGGCCCTTCCTCAGCCTGGCTTTGGAGGCCATACCCAGACCGCACTGAGCTGCACATTGCAGTGACCTTTGGGCACTGGATTCTGTATTGTGGTGCTTTCCAGACCTGTGTTAAGCTGCCTCAGAATCCTTTCCAGGTCCAGAACCCTGGCATTGCTTTAGTGTGACCCTGTCTCTAAAGACTTACTTTGTGAGTAGGCTATGTGGGCCAAGTACCGCTGGGTGGCATTAAATTTGATCTTTTTCCACCAGAATTAACACGGAAAATGTTACTGCAGATGAATTAAACGTTGACCACATGTAACTCCTCAGATCTTCACTGCTGCATCTCTAAGGTGACTTGGTCACCTTAGGGCACCTGACCTTACACCTGCTTCCCAAGCAGCTGGGTTAATGAGAAGTGGAGGCCTTACCTTAAACCCTGAGCACGTTGCATTCTGAGACTTGAAAAACCCTGACAGGCTCTTAATACCTCCCAAGCCTAACAGGCTTGTATTCATTTGATAAAGACTTTGTTAAAAAGTGGGATGTATCCTCCATGGATCCAGCAGTTTCATGTCTTAAAGATAGGTGTATTCTTAACTGGGACAGTAGAGGCTTTAAGTACTTTGCAGAAAAGCAGCAGGAAGATCTTTTTTAGAACCATGTTCTCGCTGTCAGGACCTGCATTGCAAGCCGTCTTGGCCATGACTGTAAAGTAATATTAAACTCAAACACTTTTTTCAATAACTAATCCAGACATAACTAATATATACAGTATATTGCCCAGCAAAGTATTTCTTCATCATATTTGCAAACAGCTGGCTCCAATTCTCTCAGCTCAGCTTCTCTGAACTTCCTGCCCAGTACAAGAGCACAAGGGAAAGAGTAGTCTCCAGCATCTGTCCATCTACTAGCTTGGAGGAGAAAGGATCTGGGAGACATCAGTTAGCCCTTATGGACAGTTAAGACAATCTGCATCTCATCTCTGCATCCCAGGTGGCTGGGTTTGGGAGGTGGTTTCAAAGAGCTGCAAGCTAGAAATTCACTCCCAGACCTCTCCCTGGTTTATACTTCCAACCTGTCTCTGTTACCACACAGATTAGCATATCTCTATATAGACCTCTTCTGGAGCAGATGTCATAACTCCAGTCTCTGTGGCAGAAAAATTCCAGTTCAGTTTCTAAACTAAAAGGGGACATGTGTCCTATCTATGACCTCAAGGCTCTAAATATCTTTATTCGGGCCTAGAAATTATACATGGAATCCACTAGGTCCACAGTGGGGACATGTACTTGCATGTCCCCATTTTTCCAGGCATTAGTGATTCCTTTTCTTTGCTGTGGATCCTGTGCACTTTCACTTCAGCCTGTCTTCTGCACCAGGGGTGTTGCCTTATGTGCTGGGCTGTGTGCTAGCCCTAATACACTCTCAGGGCATTCCAATTGTGGGATATTTAGATGACCTCCTTTTGAAAAAACAGTCTATGTGGGCTCTCACCATCCAGACCTTGCAGAGGTTCTGTTGGGTTCTAAACCTTCAAAAGTCAGTGCTGGAACCAAACACATAATTTGAAATATATGGGTCTAATCCTAGACACAGCTCAAGTCCAAGTTTTTATTCCCCAGGAAAAACTCCAAACTCTCCACTACCAGACTTGGATTCCTCAGTTCAGGAGTCGCCCGACTGTTCACTTCTACATAAGAGTCCTGGGGCTAATGGAGGCCTCTTTCACAGCAGTTCCATTTGCCCAGTTCCACTCCAGACACCTACAACAAAACATCCTGTTATGGGACAATTCCGTTTAGTCTAGACCACATGTGTCAAACTCAAGGCCCAAAAACAGGATGTCTTGCTGCACTCCTAACCAGAGTAACCCCAAGCTGGGTGGGTGCTTGTAGTGACCACGGAAGGCACCGTGTGAATCACAGAATAAAAGGAATAATGTCACCAGCACACCAGTTTTTGTTAGTCAATGATCCATTCTGAGCCTGATGAAGGGGACCCCCTGCGGCCCCGAAAGCGCTTGTGTATTGGATGGCAATGTGCCATTAAAATGGATAATTGACTAACAAAAACTGGTGTGCTGGTGACATTATTCCTTTATTCTGAAACTCAAGGCCCAGGGGCCGAATCTGGCCCACCAGGCCATTTCCTAGACTTCTACTTTCAGATCTAGGTATTGAGTTACTACTAACACCAGTGATAATCGAATGCAGAGGCAATTATGATAAAGGTTAGATACATTTATATAGTCTTACAGATACAACCGGCCCTTTGAGGGCAACCATAATGTTGATGCGGCCCACGATTAAAATGAGTTTGACACCCCTGGTCTAGACTGATTCATCTGGTTTGGCGACTCTGAAATCAGCTCTTACTTTTTGAAAGATTCTCACAATGGACACCAGCCTGTCAGGCTGAATAGGAGTCCTGGGCACCTTGTTGGTGTAAGGACCTCAGAGGAACCTTGATACCTAATCAACATTCTTGAACTTTGGGCAATTTGGTTGTCCCTACAACCCTGGACAGACATCCTATTCGGATCCAGTCAGCTCACAAGCATCCATAAACATCAGTGTGGGTATGTTAATTACAGATTATAATGCAAGTGCTGTCATATTAAAAAAAAAGTTGTTAGGCCGTAGCAAGGTTGAGCACTACTTTAGACCTGTTGCAAATCTGCTAGATTTGACCCCTCTTTTGATACTGCAGTTAAAGCTGGTCTTTGCGCTATTTTCTTTTGGTTAAAAACGTCCCCCAGCTGTTAAAAATAAAGAAAATGCAGCCCAGGCTTCAATACTCACTTTGAAGTGGAAGTTGCCCCTCGTAGGATCTCTTTTTGGCCACAAGATGCCCCCAGTTTTTGTAACTCTGCAAGGTTCCCTTTTTTCTCTCATGTTTTCTCCTTGCTAGGTGGATCTTGCTGCACCATTCCACTGTGAATGAAGGATGTCGTGGTGACACCCTTTCAGGGGGTGGGGGCATGATGCCCTGCATTCACAATAAAGTCCTCAGTCTTCCAGGTTGAGTGACGCTGGGTGTGACCACGGTGCCATTTATTCACAATGTACTGGTGCAGAGTCACGTTAACGACCTGAAAACTTCAGAAAAAGTATAGTAAACGTATACAAATAGTAGACAAAACATGCTGGAGGACCTTCGGGGTTGGAAGTTTTATTTGCAGCCACATGTCTGCTAATTCTTAGTCTTGGTAGTGGAGTGAGGGGAGAATGGGAGGAGTTCTAAAAAGACTGAGTAATGTCGGAATTCAGTAAACCAGTGATGGACATGTGCTATGGAGAAAGCTGTAGATTGCCCGACACCTTTTGTATAACACAGCGCTGCTTCCTTCCTCCAAGCAACATTGGGGGTAGCAGTCATTTACAGAGTGGCTGAATAGCATTGTCAGGGCAGGAAGTCAATTTAGATTCTGCGCTCTCCGCCTGTAACAGTAACTAAGAAGGTATTTATGCCAATAGCTTACTATGAAAGCCAGAAAAATTCTAATTTTCAGAAGAGGACCAGCAAAGACAGATTCCACGTTTCTCTCAGGAAAGTTCATTTTAAACAATATGATAAAAATATTTAGGTCACTGCACACAAACTCCATTTTACATCAATTCCTCACACTGCACAGTTTTTAAATTGAAATAATAAAACAAAGGATCGTAATACAAGGGAATCCTCTTTTTTTATTTTGTAACTGTCTTAAATCAGTCAATTCTTAAATGAGTATTTGCCATATATTTCTGAAATGTTTGAGAAGTCGTCTCTAAGGCTCCATTGATTCTGCTGCTGCTCCGCTTGTCCCTGCTGCCATACTTGATGAAGAGTCAGATATATTGGTCACCATAAGTCGTTCCCTGCTTCCAAATGCTTCTTTCACTAAAAAGAAATAAAAACATAGTATACACAGATTTATACATCCATTTATTTAGCATAGGTATCTATGAATTTTTTTTGCGATAGAAAAAAAATGGTATGTTCCTTTTTATGCATGGCTGATTTATGGCCTTAAAATAATATCTTTACAGAGCATATTATTTCTATACAGCACTATTAATGCGCAGGTTTTATAAACACGCAACGAATAGGGCAGCTGCAGTCCCCGAGACACCCCTGCTAAAAATTAAAAAAATGCATGCGATTTCTTGCCAATTATTAGCAAGCTCTTGGAAAAAAATGGTTGGAATATGAGCTAAAAGTAAATCCAAACTGATGGCACCCTTGAGGACAGCTCTAATGCTCACCATACATATTATAATTAATGTACAATCTCTATTTAACTTCCTTTAGATCTACCAAAACTATTTAGTACAACCCGTCTAAGGCTGCAAATCACCTCATTTGTATCTAGCCACATAGAGCTTTCGTGCTACCTAAATGTTGGCAACAGGAGGTGTAGCAGGCATGTGCCCTTTTCCTGTATACATCATGCTCCTACATTCTCCTCTCATAAAGGAGGCAGGTATGTTGATAAAAATTGTTCAATCTTATTGCAAGGTGTGTGACCCTGCAATAAGATACAATACTGTGCTGTCCAGTGGAAAAGGTTAGGGCACCATTTACAGTAAGTGCTACATTAATGCATTGCCTCACTATGCATTAATACATTCTGTGTTGGCAGCCCATTCACAACTTGCTTGCTTTGGACTCTGAAAAGGGCGAAGCCCAATTCATTTTCTTGGAGGGGAAAACTAAAAAAAAGAAGTCAGGAGGAGAAACGGGTCACATGACCTGTAAAAGCCATACAACTAGCTTCTATCACAGAGTGTTTTCTCTACAGCATTATAAAATGCAGCATTATCTGTTGGCTGCATTTGATGATTTACGTAATAATATACTGTGCTGTCCAGTGGAGAGCAATATCCACTCTCTGTTTACTCTGTTTTAAATGGCAAATCAATGTAGGATTTTACATCACAGCCTATGACACTCCATTCCAGAAAACGTAGGATCATTTGAGAATGACCAGCAGCTTACAATAATGTCAATTTAAAAAGTGAGGAAATCCTTTTAATAAATTCAATTTCTAAAACAGTCATTGGTTGTGTACTCACCAGCAGCAATACTGCTAATGTCCCACACTCTCAGCCCATCCTTCTGGCCTCCAAATGCATAATGAAAGGGCAGATCGGGGCAACAGGCTGTGCAGAATAATACACCCTAATACAAAAGAAAGTATAACATTAGAACATTTTCTTCCTAACTTTGCTTCCTGAAAGTACTTGAAGTCTCCATTACCACAAGCAGTTCTAATGTGTTCACAGATGCTGCTGCTGCTGCTACAAGATCTAGACGATGCCTGGACTACAGCACACCTACGGTAGTAGTGAATTGGGAGCTTCTGCTTTGATTCACCTTAAAGAGATCCTGTCACTTTGCCTATTCAGGGCAGTGACGATCCCTTACTAGCCCACTCACCAACACACTATGCTGGGAAGATACATGCTACCCCAAACCCAGAAGCACCAGGCATTAGGTGGCAATTTTAAAGCGCAGCTGAACAGCAGAGGGGTGCGGCATAGACGAGTATATATGGATGAGAAGATGGTCTAATAAGAGTCTGTCACTTTGCCCTGAGTAGGCAAGGTGTCTGTCTCTTTAAATAAGACATTATCACATGACAGTGTCTAACTCAATGGCTACACCATTGTCACTAGCTCTTGGCTACACAACAGAGTAGTTGGGTGACACAAGCTGGTCAGCTTAGTACGATCCTGCAAGCCTGGCAGTTGTGTGGTACTTGGTAAGTTTTAAATATGACTGCCAAGACCCCCTTTTTAGCTCTCAAGGCTCACAGGTACAGCTAGTTTCGCCAAAGGCAATGACGCTCTAACACAATTAAGGGGAAAAAAAAAAAGCTGCACTAAGCCTTTAGTTACAAAAAGTATCAATTCACACAAAAGGGTAACAGTGAAGTATTCGGAAATCAGATTACCTGCAGCCTGTTCATTCTGAGTTTATATTGACTAGAAAACTTATATAAATATATATATATATTGCAATATAAATGGGTAAGCCGTATTAGTCCAGTAGACGGGACGTCAAAAAACCCAAAAACGCAGTATTGCAGTGTGCAATGATACCTTTTTTATTGGACTAACAAAATATATAAAAGACAAGCTTTCGAGAGTGAACCTCTCTTCTTCAGGTCAGAAGCAAATATATCTATTTATTTCTTCTTTTCTTCTATTCACTTCTGGCTTTATACGGAACCTTAACGCTACAGAAAATCACAAGTTAACTTTACAGGTATTCCTCACTTAACGACCGAGTTCCGTTCCTACGACCAGGTCGTTAAACGGATTGGTCGTTAAGTGAGGAACCCTATACAGTACTGTATAGCGTTGCCGATGTACAGTAACGAACAGTGTACTGTACATCGGGCAATGAAAATACTTACCGGGACCCGCAGTCAAGATCAGAGGACACCACTTCCGCCGGCGACATGGTGCGCAAAGTCGGAGGTCGATCGGTGGTCCGTCGTAAGCGCGAGTGGTCGCAAAACAGGTAAGTCGGTAAGCGGGGGAACATCTGTATTTAGCCTGCCACAATGCCATGAAGAACTCAATAGGGCCCTCCTTACCATCTTGTCTTGTATTGTGATTGTAATGTCTTCCTTATATTGTAAAGTGCTGTGCAAACTGTTGGCGCTATATAAATACTAATAATAATAATAGCCATTATATTATCACCATTAACACATGATTTTGTTAAACCAGACAAGGAATTCAAGAGAATGACACATGACTGCACCGGATTAGCCCTTCACTTACCATTTTCATATTCCTGGAATGAACTAGGCTTGGTTTGTCCAGAAAAACATCCCATATCTTCACTTGTTTATCTGCAGAAGAGGTTACTAGGCACCCTTTCACTTGACTGCTTAATTCGAGACCTTGATGAACAAAAAGTGGAAAAATAAAAAAGGTCCTTTAATTAAAGGCACAATATGTTAAAAAGCATGGGAGGTAATTCAGTCAAGCAATACAATGATATGTACACGTTATGCCCATATCATTCATCGGCAAAATGTTGTGCTCCTCTAAACACATGAAAACTTTTCTCTGCTTCTTCATAGAAACCCGTTTTAGATTACTTCATTGTAAAAATGCAAATAAAAAAAGGATTTAACACGGTCATCTCCCAAAAAAGAATTAATAGCTGCTCTCTGCAATGAAAGCATTATTATACATACCTCTCTGGGGGTCCACATCTCTGATCTTCACCCTGTTGATGAACTACAGTCTCTCAGACTCTATCAGTCCAGGAATATCACCCCCCAGCACTGTGGTGTCTTCTGCTGACCTGTACTTCACTACCGTGTCCTGTAATGAGCTAGGGGCTAGAGGATGGAACCACCGAGCTCAGCGGGGGGAACCAGGCATCTGACACTCTCTGAAGTGTTAAATGCTGATGTGTTTGACATAGGCTGCGGTATTGAAACAGAACAGAGAAAAGAGATGACCACCAGAGAGGTATGCATAATAGCTCTTTCTTTGCAGAGAGCCACTAATCGTTTGTTTTTGGCAACAACAACAGTGTCACTTTAATAACTTTTTTGTCTACATTCACAGTTTTTCCCCCCAATATCAATCAAAGTAGTAGTACTTAGAGCCGGTGTGCAATACTGCAGGGGTCACATGCTGGCTCTATATAATGAGAGCCGAGTGATCGTGTAACCGCCGATCACTGAGCTTGCCGTCTCCACTCTGCAGAGAGCAGTGACTGTCAATCACCGCTCCCTGCAGGGATTCGCCTCTCACTGGAGGGACAATCAGGGGAGAGGGCAGGCAGAGCCAGCTGTCAATCAGGCAGTTAGGATCCATCCTTCATGCTGCTGAGCAGCTCTGCCCACATTAGCCCGTTATATGCGGACATTGGGTTACAGGTGTACTCCTGCGGTCCAAAAGGGAAGTAAAAAAAAAAAAAGAAGGTTTGGCTTTACTTAGAGTACTTAAGTATTGTGGTCTGTGTACCACTCAGTGTTTAGTCACAGACATGGTCAGAGTAAGACATGGCAAAGTGATGACAAAACAGTATGAGCAATAACAAGTTCACATATGAAATATAGAGTGTAGACCCAACACGCAGGTGCCCCCTGCTAGGCCCAATGACAGTCTATTTACACCTTACAGTTTTAACCAGACCCCTCTATTACTCTGCTCGGCACCTCACCGCTTCTCACTTGTCTGCTTTGATATCTCTTTTTCCCGCTGTGCTGTTTACCAATGTTTAGTTCCAAAGCAGCCTGGTTTTCTTATTGATTTTAACCATGGCTCTATTTTCTCCTATTCCTCATCATTGATTCTGTCAGATTTCTTTTTGTTTGCTTCCAAACAGCTCTACACTCATCTCTTTCAACAACTGCTCCCCGACTGCAACCACTCCATCCCCTCCGGGAAGGTTAAAGGGACACGCGAGTGCATACTGAAAATGAATGCTGCAAGTGCATTTCTGCTTTTTCAGCCAAATAAGGATGAGATCTATTTTATATTCGTTACATGTTCCCTTTGACATAGCATGACTTATTCACTACTAATACTTACAAATAACTGCTTATATATTACTGACTCTTTTCTGGGAGAATAACATTCCCTAGTCTTTCTATGGCGACAACCAGAGTTTCCGGTCGCTTTAAAATTGTACAGAAGCTCCAAAGGCCTGCTACACAGACACAGACCCATCCAAAAGGCATGATATGTAAATGGGAACGCTGACAGGCAGAGTATTATGTTTCTAATTGAGGCATTTGTCAATAACCTAGTGATCGGAGAGCCTGGGGCTGTGGGGAAGGAGAGGAATTCACTAACACATCCACTGCAGGCACCATGCAGTCATATACAGTATATACAGAACGCCAGGTGTAAAAAAAATGGCAGAAGTCAGAAGTTTCTCCTAGTCAACTAGCAGATTTAGATCTGTCATGAGGTCCAAATATGATTAGTGATACAGAAAGCAGAGAGATAAAAGATGTTACACAAAACAAGCTTCAGGAAGCAAACTCCCAGTGACCCTGGATGGGAGTACATAGAACTCAGGTTAAGGTAGACTGAGGAAAACTTCAGATTTCTGATTTCACATATAACTAAACTACCTGAATGTCACCTGGCATCAGCCTCTAAGGCTTAATTTACACAGATGTGCAGAGCAATATAGTGCGCACACCCCCGCAGAAACCTACGGCCAGGAGTGCCAGCTGTTGAGTGCATCCACCTCTACAACTCAGTGACGGGATGTGGCTCGATGCTGGTAAATGCCGATCTGAACTTCAACATTTGTACAGGTACATATGCATGCCCCTAGACACAAACTCCTGTATTAAGGGGCATGCACCTGTACAGGTGTACACATTCATGTTATTGAGGCCCCACAGTCCACTTACAGTGTTAAGCTGGCCATACACTGCTCTATTTTTCTCGTTCAACCCGCGGACTGAATGAAAAAAAATAGAGTAGATTTCTTCATCAACACTACAAGTGCGTTGATGAAGGAATCCCTGCTGTTCCTTTTGTATTCCAACAGCAGCTGCCGACCCGTCAGAATACCCCAAAAAGAGTTCATTGGCTGCCGGCGCTGTTCATTTGAAGATTTTTTGAACCGGCTCCTTCGATCAGCTGATTGAGGGATGCCGCCCGAAAAAGGTGCCAAGAGAGGCACCCAGCGCGTGAATTTAGGCCGGTTCCTCAAGAACCGGCCAAAATTTGCACTGTGTATGTCCACCTTTAGAGGAAGAAGCAGAACAAGGAGTGAATCAGTTAATGTGCTAACAAGGAACATGGTTATATGGAGTGACATACAGATGAGCTTGTTACGGCGCTGCTTCTCTTTTCATTATCCAGTCACAGAATGGGGGTAGGTCCAGGAGACCTGAGCTCAGAGAAAGTGGTTTGAATGATGCTGTGCATCATTCAGCCCAAAAGACTGAGGACATCTTGTATCAGACATTCTGGACACTGGAGTTCTGCTTTAATCCAATGTATCCAGTGGAGCTATTATGTATGCGGCTGTGTTTTTTCTACTTTGGGCAGGTGTATCGTCTTGTGTTGAGTATAGAAATTCCCATCAACATGTCAGCGTCAAAAAACAGACATACTTCAGCCAACATACATCAATGGACTGCACAGATGTGAGCTAGCACAATTAAAACAATGGCAAACCTGTGCACTGTGCTTTCCTGTCACTAGATGTACCCAGTGTTCTGGGCTGAATGACGGCCAGCATTAAACCCACTTCCTCTAAGCTCAGGCTGTCATGGAGCCTGTGACTGGACAGAGACGAAGAGGCAGCACAGTACTGAGCTCATCTCTCTGTCACTCTGCTCTCTCCTCCTACTACCAAGTTCCTTATCAGCACGGAAACTGATTGACTCCTTGTGCTGCTTCTATCTCTCCCACTCTAAACTCTGCTGTACAGGGACTGCAAAAGGCTATTCAAATTAAATCCAGGTACTTTCATTTAAAACGCACATTTAATGATGTACCGTATTTTTCGCTCCATAAGACGCACTTTTTTCCCCCCAAAAGGAGGGGGGAAAAGTGCCTGCGTCTTATGGAGCGAATCCCGACGCCCGAGACATGCAGTTTCGGGCGCCGGGCGAGTAGTAGGAGCCACTGCTCATTTAATACGAGTGATCTAACGAGATCACTCGTATTAAAGCCGAGCAGCGGCGGCGGCGATCGAGTTCAGCAGCAGGAGCCACTGCTCGTTTAATACGAGTGATCTAATGAGATCACTCGTATTAAAACCGAGCAGCGGCGACGATCGAGATAACCATAGAGCAGACGAAGAATAGATGTTCTTCGCCTGCTCTGTGTCATCACTGAGACCGTGGCGCTGTAATCACAGCGCCACCTGTCTCAGCGGTCACTAACTGCAGCTTCTGTCACAGCTTCTGTCATAGAAGCCGAGACAGAAGCTACAGTCTCGAGTGCTCCATAAGGCGTGCCGGACCTCCCTGTGTCCTATGGTCCGGTGCGTCTTATGGACCCCAAAATACGGTAGATTGAATACAGAACTGCAATCATTTGTGTTTTTTAGATCTGCTAGAATTCAGTTGTATTATGTGTTAAAATGCTTGTACGTTTAAACAGACCCCAGTCTATTTACAAGAGATTCAACAGAGGATTGGTTAAACCATCATGTAAGGTCCAGGATCCGATTAAACCTGGAGAAAAGATGTGCAACCTTTAATGGAGAGTCAAAACTACTTTATTGGGCCAAACCAGTAAAAATTAAACCGTGAGGTATGGCTAAAGCACGCAGTAAATGAGACCCGGGCCCACGTGGGGTGTTCAGATTTACGGCTGTATTTAGGTGACAAGTGCACTTACAAAGCCAAAACAGAAGTATATCTGAGGCCTAAGTGGATAAAACAAAGACTGATTAGTTGTGCTACAATAGCAAGCGTTAATCTGGAAAGCAACCTTTAACTACTGCCAGGCATCAAATTTATTGTAGCAGAGTAAGTGAAAGTCTGAGCTCAGCGAGATCTTTATACCTTGCAACATTGGAACAAGCCAGAAAAATCAATATCGCAGTGGATGAAAACAGAGGCCCAAATGATCCGCGGTGTATTTAGGCCGGTGTCACATTGAATGACCGCGGCGTGGGCTCTGCTTCAGACGGTAAAGGTGACAAGGTTGTATTAATGTTTTATAAAACATTAGAAAGAGATACTTTGAACAATTCTTGAAAGCTGAAAAACCAGGTGCAAAAACTTTCATTTAAATCTACTCCTAGATATTACCTTGTAGAAATAGAAGCGACACCATCACAGTGCTGCACATAGCACGTGCAATGAGCAGAGCTGGGGGTGGGACCAGGGGCATCCCAAGTCGGGGCGACCCCCCGCTGTGTTGTCATCACTCGCATGCATGGCCATCTTGGTGATGGACACTGGCAGAGAGAGGAGGGGACGTTCACCTGGCAGGATAAGGTATGGCGCCGGGTCCCCTCCTCTCTCGTGCAACTGTCGGGTTCTCGATCCATGGCTCGACTTTTCAGAGGGGGGTGACTGTCAAGTCATTTTGGTGTCACCCCTCCAATGGTGTTACCCGGGTGCAGGCCGCACTCCCCACACCCCCCTAGTGACGCCATTGGGTGGGACCCATCAAACTACAGGAGCGGGTGGATACCAGACCTATCATCCTGCACAAAGAGATAGAGCAGCAGTGACCAGTCTATTACAGGAAGTTTCTGCACAGAGAAAGTGCAGAACTTGTTTTATGGTAAATGACTGCAAAGATCTGGAAGGTATAATCATAAGGACACAAGGATTCAAGCTGGAAAACACAAGGCTCTTGGACTTTGACAAGATGTTTCCAGTCCAGATTTCAGCTTAAAAAGGCATAATATAAAATATTCTGATACCACTATCCATGGTAATGATGTAATGTAGTATATTTGTTTGCATGCATTTACAATTTTTCTTCACAATTACACACAGGCCAAGCTGTCCAGCAAAATGCGACAGTGAGAGAGTTTGTGACAAACTAGAACACTGCGAGCGTTGATGTCAATAATCAACTTTCATTGATGGTTCAAAAAATGTTTTTGTGGTATTAAAATACTGAATGATAGTAAGTTCGCCCCTGTGATAGACTATCATTTCAATACAAATTAGTAAACTAAACATGAGATTGTAGTCCATCACGGGAGTGAGTTTGGAGTGATGGCTACTTTACAACACACACAGGGACCATGGGGAACAAAAGTAGCCACTCTCCAGAAGGAAGGACAGTGTCACCACCAATTCAGAGATGATTTGAGGATCTGCAGCCGAGTGATACACAAAAAAAAGATAATTTTTTTAAGGGCTGGTAATGATTACAAATTTCCGGTTCGATTAATCGAATTTTTTTTTTAAATTGATTTAATTTTGATTAATTATAACACACATACAGATCCAACTACATTGGCCTATACACATACAGCATAGCAATAAAGTAATAAAATGAACTAGGATCACACTAATCCAGCACGTTATTAATCTCACGTGCCCCCCTCAATATGGCCGCCGCTTGAGTGGGGCAACTCAGAATAATAACGTGCTGGATTAGTGTGATCCTAGTTCATTTTATTACTTAATTGCTGTGCTGTATGTGTATAGGCCAATGCCAGGGATCCCAACCTGAAATAAGCAATTTCAGGGAGGTGTCCCTCTCATTTCAGGGAGGTGCCCTCTCCCCCCATCTGCGGAGGGTGGGTTAGGGGGGGCTGGGAGAGAGCACCCCCCTGAAATGATGGCAGATAGCACAGGAAGCAATAGCTATCTGCAGGCTTTTTTTTTGTATTCTGACAGTTGCAGTTGTCGAGGGATTAATCGTTAATTTTTAAGATTAAACTCCTGAGTTTCGTGTCACTTTATATTCTGCTTTCATCAAAAAATGTTACATTGTTATTTGGAGCTAGAAGGTGTAGCCAATTACAATGTATCTGTTTTTTTTAAAACAGGATCGCTTCACCAAATGTGTAAAAAAAATAAATACATACCAGACACTTCCCCATCATGCGCCTTTAATGTGAATAGTGGCTTCTCCGACCGTGCATCTAAACAGTACACAAAGCCGTCTTCTGTGCTGGCCTAACAAAGAAACGGAACAGAAACAGCCTGATAAATTATAAGTGACTACAGGAATTCATCCCAATTACAAAGATTTAACAGGAAACGCAAGCTTAAAGTGGTAGTAGACCGCCAACATAAACACAGCAATAGGGGGTCCCCAGCATATTAGCACATTATGGGTGACTTACCTTACAGGTGATACCCTCTCCAGTGCTGGGATGTCAGCGCTCTCTCCCTCCGCCAATGTTTCCATCTTTACCCGGGTTAGGTGTCTTTGGCCAGGCCAGAATGATGTTACTAATGCGCATGCACATGGGAAGCTGCACATGCGCTGCTCAGTGCACACAAATGCTGGACAGGAAGGGAGCATTTATGACAGGAGACATACAAATCCTACCTACACAATATTTAGACACATACCAACATACATGTATGTACAACATACATACCAATATGTTTGTTATCTACAGGCTTAAAGTAAAATGGTTTTCTTTAATCCTCCATCTTCAGCAGCATAGCATGTCCCTTAGGCTGGGCTCACACCATTTTCTGGACCAGATATGGAACATAGTGCATTGCAATTTTACCACGGTTGGAATAAAAAAAATAAAAAATGGCCTTACATGTTCCATGCGTTTTTGATGCGTTCCAGTGCATTCCAGACCAGAGAAAATAGGACAAGCAATATTTTTCTGGCCTGGAACGGACTGTGCTGGTGGGAACAGAAGACAGAAATAGCATAGGGATACATTGGGATGCATTTTGGGTCCGGAAACAGTCTGGTCTGGAGGTAATGTGGTGTGAATGGTCCCTTAATCTTGGGAGTGGAATGAAATATAAGATTCTTCCAAATATGTAGGAGAACGTGATTCAGCCATGTGAAAGCACTGGGCCAGTCAGCGTTGTCAAATGTGCAGCCTATAGCCTTGTATAAGTTCAGGCAACGTATAGCTTACATTGGGTTATCCTTTATCTCCCAGCAGCTGAATGGAAGCAAAAGAAGGGCAAAGCATGTGCTGCTGGATAGCTCTACATATACCAGCTGCCGAACCCAGCAGATTTTCCTGATATTTTCTTATGTTTATAAATAAAATAAACTTAAATACTTATAAATATATATTTTATGATTGATATAGCTGCTTAAATTCAAGCCCGTCATAATAAATGTACTGTATCATTTTTCAGTTTTTTACTCCTGACTTGGGTTCTGCGAAGTATAAAGAATTAGGTGTGTGATTTGTCTAAAACACTCCTAGAATGAACGAGCCACTGCCCTGTGTTATCTGTCTGTACCCCAACATGAGCAGGGAAGTAAACACTAAAAATGAAGCCCATTATAGTGACAGAAAACATAAGATCTAGATTTGTTGATCCTATAAACATGTCAGAGCTGTCCTGTTCACTCTGCCTGTGTTATCCCGTGGAATCTAATCAGCCCTCCCAGTTCTAATCATTGAGTCAAGAGAACAACCTCCCTATGCTGTGGATATCAGGACGGGGGAAGGATATTTAAAGTGTATTTCCACTTTTGCTTTCAAATCGGGCTAACACCTCTTGAAACAGTTGAAGTCTGCGGCGTTAAACCCCTTTCCTGTCCAGGCCATTTTTCAGTATTCAGCGCTGCGGTACTTTGACTGACATTTATTCGGTCATGCAGCGCTGTACTGAAATGAATTTTAGAATTTTATACCATTTTTTGGGGACAGATAGAGCTTTCTTTTGGTGGTATTTAATTCACGCAGCCAGCAGATATACACGATCGGCAGGCTATAGAGCCGCTGATCGTGTATATGTTAAACAGCCGGTAACAGCTCTATGCATTGCACGGGTTTTTTCTGCCCGCGCGCGCGCCCCCTAGTGGGAGCAGAAATAAAATGTTAAAATGTTGTCTGGAGACGGCAACCCGCCAATGCAGCTGTGCTGTCCATTTTTTGTTTTTTTTTCAACGGGCGGACAGCAACTGGTTAATATCTGTTACACGTTTTTCATTCACATTACTAAAAAAAAAAAATGCTGCTTGCACAAAACATGCTCAAAGAAACGTTATTCTCTGTACCGAGTTTCCCTCTGGAATGCAGGGAAGAGAGGGGAGATTACCAGTAACATAATTAACCCCGTCTGTACCGTGCTGACAGATCTCATCAGTTTTAAACTAGATGTGAACACTGTCTGCTCTAACAAAGGGTTAAAGGTCTAGATGCTTTGTATGATGATGAGGGGGAGATTAGTCTGCCCCATGTCTTTCTATAGGGCAAATCAGAGATACGCTATATTGCCAAAAGTATTGGGACACCCCTCCAAATCATTGGATTCAGGTGTTCCAATCACCTCCATGGCCACAGGTGTATACAATCAAGCCCCCAGGCATGCAGACGCTTCTACAAACATTTGTGAAAGAATGAGAATGGGTCGCTCTCAGCAGCTCAGTGAATCCAAGCGTGGTACCGTGATAGGTTGCCACCTGTGCAATAAGTCCATCCGTGACATTTCCTTGCTACTAAATATTCAATTTCATTGGCAAACTGATGGACGTGTCTGGGTTTGGCGGTTGCCAGGAGAACGGTACTTGTCTGACTGCATTGTGCCAAGTGTAAAGTTTGGTGGAGGGGGGGATTATGGTGTGGGGTTGTTTTTCAGAGGTTCCAGTGAAGGGGACTCCTAAGGCATCAGCACACCAAGACATTTTGCACAATTTCATGCTCCCAACTTTGTGGGAACAGTTTGGGGATGGCCCCTTCCTGTTCCAACATGACTGCGCACCAGTGCACAAAACAAGGTCCATAAAGACCGCACAGAGTCCCAACCTTAACCCGATAGAACACCTTTGGGATGAATTAGAGCGGAGACTGCGAGCCAGGCCTTCTCGTCCAACATCAGTATCTGACCTCACAAATGGTCAAACATTCCCATAGACACACTCCTAAACCTTGTGGGCGCCTTCTTAGAAAAGTTGAAGCTGTTATAGCGGCAAAGGGTGGGCCAACTTAATATTGAACCCTGCGGACTAAAGGTGCCCATACACCTTACAATTATCTGCAGATTTTCTGTGGTCAGATGGAAAAAGTGCAACAGATTGGCCCAGGTGGAGATTCCTCCATCCACACAGTTAAGTGTAGATGGAGCAATCTGTTGCACCTTTTCCATCTGAACACAGAAAATCTGCAGATAATTGTAAGGTGTATGGCCAGCTTAAGACTGGGATGCCATTAAAGTTCATGTGTGTGTAAACGCAGGCGTCCCAATACTTTTGGCAATATAGTGCATGTAACAGGTAAGAGGTAAGAAATATTTTTTTTTTAAATGAAAAGGAACACATAACATATAGAGAGGGGTTTCTGACTGCAAAAGTGTAACTACAAAAAGAAGCTAAATAGAGCTGACACCGTTAGTTGTAATTTCAGTCCACAACAGGCTTCGTGTTGTCAGCCCACAACAATAAATTAGGAACACAGTGCATTTCTGGCAGATCAGCATGTCATTTTCTGATCTTGCTGGGTCTTTATAGGGATAAAACATGGGGAAACGTGCAAGTTGTGCAGGAACGTACTGCATTGTTTATTATTTTACCCCTTACTTTATTTTAAGCCTGTTGAAAAAATGTCTAACTTCCTGCAGAGTTTTAAAAACAAATAAAAACTGAGAGGGGAAGAGTGGTTGCAGAATGCAGTGAATGAGATCTAGGCCCATGTGGTTTGTTTAGAAATATAGTTGTGTTTGGGTGAAAGGTACACTTACAGCAATTATGCATTTCTTGGGGGAGGGGGGGCTACATTAAAGTATACCAGTTGCTTTGCCCTGCATGTTTACCAGTCAGTTCCTCATGTTGTTAAATAAAATACCTACAACTACTCACTGATGTTAGATCCATTTGCTACAATCTCAGACCATTACAATAAACTTGCTTAGTACCCCTTGCATCCTCTGGGACACACCTACCACCAGTTGAGAAGCAGTGCACTATAGCAAGGCCTGGATGGCAATGTGAAGCCCTGACCACATAGGCGCCTTGTGTCTTGGTGTGTATCTCAAAGCTGGAGTACTGACTGGAAAGAGCATTTAAAAAAGGAGAATTATGAGGCGAGTGCTTTTCACTCACCTCATAATTCTACCCGACCTGTGACAATGAGACTGTCACACGTTGGCTCAGTAGATCGGGAGGTGAGCGAACACATACCGGCGTTCGCTCCCCTCTCGATCCTGTCATGGCTCTCTGCCGTGACAGGGGAGGGGATGGATTCCCCTCTCCGATCCGCCAGCGCTGACTGGCGGAACGGACGGGGAGGGGGCGGGTACAGCTAGCTCTGCCTCTAGATAGGCAGGGCCAGCTGTCACTCACGCAGCTGGGCGGATCTCGACATCGATGTCGGGATCCGCTCCGGCGTCTCAGTATACCGCGAGCTGTAGCTTGCGGTATACTGAGCTTAGGGTGACGGGAGGACGCTAGTTTGTGTCCTCCCGTTACCCGGAGAACTATGGGGAAAAGCCCTGACCCCATAGTTCTCCTTTAATGTAATCAAGAATGACATAAACCGAACCAAGAGCACCCAGATATGAGGCCACCCCACCTTCACATTGCACTCTACTTTGCCATTGATTTTGTTCTGTAATTTGCCTGGAGTCACAAGGGCAACTCGACTGAAAGCTACAAACAGGACACAAAGTAGATCGAATGATCATCACTTTGACAGTCTGAAGCATTTTGTTTAATAGTTCAGCATGTGCAGTTCAGCCATTACCGAGAAACTCTGAGTTATTCGATTGATCAAGTGGCCAAACTAGAGCTCAATGAAGAACAAAAAGCAATTCTAAAAAGACTGCAAAACATTTGGCTTTACAATCAATAAGTACCAACAGGCTATATGAGACATTAACCCCTTCATGACTGAGAGGAACTCTGTGGCTGAATAAAGTTTGCATGGCCTCCCCCATATATATTCTTCATTTCCTCCCACAGCTGAAAAAAAACAATATTAGGCTAAAAGTGGCCCTAGAACCTGTATGACTGCGTTAGTAACATC